TATTTTACTGGCAAGTATATTCGACAGCAATTTGCTGTCGAATATGGTATTCAAAAAAAAAAAAAAGATATTCAATAGCTGATGGTTGTCGAATATAATTTCAAAAAAAAAAAAACATATTCGACAGCCAATGGTTGTCGATTAAACAGGTTTAATCGACAGCCAATGGTTGTCGAATATAAGCTGCTACAATTATAAATGTGGCTACGAAATTCTGTCGATAATAATTATATTCGACAGTAAGTATTTATCGATTACACCTGTATATTCGACAGAAAACATTTCTGTCGAATATACAAGTTATCGACTACATTTTATACGACATCTTTTTTTGTCGAATATGTCTGTCGATTAAAGTATAATCGACAGAAATACCTTTATATTCGACAGAATTTTCTGTCGAATATACTGTGTTTTCCAGTAGTGATACTCCCACTCACCCAAGATAATAGTACTCTCTGTCTCGAAATATAGACAATTTTTTTAGAGTACTTAGAATTTATTTTAAAATAATAATAATTTTTTATATTGTAACAAAGATAGATATCTTTTTATATTTTAATTTTATCATTATTTATTGACTTTAATGATCTTTCTTACAATTAAAATTCTCATCATTTTTTTTAAGATAATATAAGTAAAATTATAAATTATTTCTAAATTTTTAATTTGAAGATAAAATAAAAAATATCTATTATTCTAATATAGAAGTAATAGTTTTTTTTACTCAAAATTTGTTCTAAATTAAACAATCGTTTTTTTTTTTTAAAGACAAAATGAAAATTTTTATTAAGTACAAGGTTCTTTAACCATCCGCACTATTGTTTATGCATCATGAAAAATGAACAGTAAACGCTCAATTTAACTTACTTTTTAACATAAGTTCAATTTAATCATTAAAAATATAATATAAATATAAATGATTTAATCAATTTTTATATCTTATATACATAACTGTATTTTTAAGTTTATATATCTTTAATTTTAAATTAAAAAATAATTATTTTTTTAACAAATATATTGTGTAATGTGTTAATTTAGAATGTATATCAATCAAAGTCCATGTATCATTATAACCATCATAATCATGGGTCTCACATTAACTGTCAACCTCCAGTTTTTGCTATCAAGCCCCTTCGAGGAATCTTCCTCCATTCTTCAAGGGAATGAGGCCAACCTTCATTATAAACCTTAATCCATTCTTGAGAATGAATCTGTGCCATTTGAAATACCTCATCCATTGATGTCGTTTTCCTTTCGAACACAATATTGTTTCTTGCCATCCAAATATCCCGTAATATTGCAAACCATACTAGCATCCATCCCTTATGGGCTTTCACTGCCCCTGTGTTGTCTAAAAGTCTCTTTTCCTGACTTATCTAATTTTTCACCCTTTGTCTATCTTCTTTTATACTTTATTAGTCCCAAAATAATTATCATTTTTTTACTTTGAATTTGTCTCAAAATAATTATCATTTTTTTATTTTTAAGATAGAAAAATATTTTTTTTCTTGTTTTAACCTTATGGTTATCCTTTTACTTTAATTATTACCCTATCACAATATATCTTTTTATCTTTTATTTATTTTTAAAGTTTATATAAGTAAACATATAAATTGTTTTTAGATTAATTTAGAGAAAAAGTAAAAAAAAAAAAACAATTATTTTAAGATAAAGAGAGTATTTAATAGAGACAAATATTTTTTTCTTAATTTAACCCTAAGATAATGAGTAGTATATATACTGATTTAACACACCTCACAACACATTTTTAATAAATTATTTTTTTTCAAATTTAAATCAAAAGCAAGAAAACTAAATTGATCCAGGAAGCTCTTCGAACTCACTCAACTGAGATAATTTTTTTGGATTAAGGCTAGAGCACGTAATTGTCTGTTTAGCTTTTCGGATTGGGCCTTGGCTCTGTGCGACTGTATGCAGCAGCTCGCCTTGTAACGAAAAAACCTTCTTGTAACCGCTTGGGGTATTACTTGTACTCCAACCCATAAATTAATAAATTGTTGTTTTAATTTGCTGTTAAAAAAAAAAAAAAAAAGTAGGACAACTAAATGGTACAGAATTTAATAGCTGAACCAATGGTTGTTATCGGGTGTATCAATTATATTCCTTTAACCCTATCATTATGCCTTAACTTTAATCATTCATTTTAACGCAAAAAATCTCTTATATCTTTTTCTTAAAAATGTTATCGGTAAAAACATAAATTGATATAGATACCTTTCAGTTTAATATACTTCACAATATATATACTTATTAAAAAATTATTATTTTCAAATTTAAATTAAAGGCATGAAAGTTTAAATTTTTTTTATATCAACAAAACAAAATAAAATTTTATTATAAGTGAACTACAAAGGGTACTCTTGCTTATTTTAAATATAATGTACAAAATACATCAAAACCAAAAAAACACAAATCCATACCACAGCTAAACATTCAACTGTTTATGAAACTGTTTCACATTACTTTTATGGATAATGATGCATGCACACTTCCATACCGCACACTCTGTTACACTCTTCAATTTCCGTTATTTTGCCGTTAATTACACTTAACTTTGTTACCACCTCTTCAGCCAACTCCCAACTCACCCAACCCTTTCCGTCCTCACCAAATCCATCTTCCTCCTCACCTCCATCCTTATCCTAATCATCTGCAAAACAATTATCAGCCTCTCCCATGTTCCCACCTTCTTCCTTTTTTCCTTTTTTTTCCTTTTTTTTGTTTTTTTGGAGAACCCGACCTGGGTTCTTCTTGGAGAACCCAGAATGGGTTCTTGGTGGGTTCTCCAAGAACCCAAGGAGAACCCAAATCAGGTTCTCCAAGAGAACCTAGGAGAAAAAAAAAAAAAGGAAAAAGGTGGGAACCTAGTACGGTGAGAATGTAATGGAGATTAACGGAGTGTATGGGAGCTGACGGAAAAACGAGTGTGTAATGAGAGTGTGGTACGGTCAGTGTAAACCAATCATGGTCCTACTTTTATACCTACTTTCCTCTACAGCACATTCAATTGGCCTTGAAAACCATTCTTAAAATGAGAAGATACACCCCTCCATTTTGTGTTTAATCCACATAAATGATTTAGCCTGTATAGTACTTAACACTTTTTCCCCAAAATTTCCTTCATTTTTAAACACTATGGTGTTTCTCCAATACCATATATACCAAGATATAAGCAAAAAAATACAAGATCCCATTTCTTTGCACACATTCTTTCCCAAACCAAACAAAAAATAGTCAGCCATCCCCATGAAAGCTTAAAATTATAGCTTATAATGGTTAAATTGATAAGTGTTGACAAGTGTGTTAAACTGTAAAGTGTATCAATTATTTTTTAAATATGAATTATCCCTAAATCCTTAATTTGAAAAAAAAAAATAAAAAAATGACTATTATTTCCAAGATGGAATGAGTAACAAAAAAATATTTTAAAGGTGGACCTCCAAGGAAAAAAGTATGTAAATGCTTATAAAATTATTTTAAAACCCTTAACAAATTTCCTTTTACATATTTGAATTATTAAAAATATTTAAATAATTTCATAAATATTTATATAATTTATTTTTTACATATCAACATGAAAATCCACTTTCTCCAATAATAATCACAAAAGAAGAATCCCTTGAAAAGAATTTAGCGTGTACTCTTCTGAAAATTAAGATACAGCATATGAAATTTAAATTTCATGTATTAAAAGTCATTATATTTTTTTTTTGAACAGTTTTATCATGGGGCGTGTTCGAAACCCGCCCAGGGGAGGGGATGTGCACTTTTCAGTGGCTCTAGCCATTGGACCACACGGGCCAAGTGCATTAAAAGTCATTATATGACATAAAAGAAGAGGAATTAACTTATATTACAATGCCTTTGGCGAGAGGATGGGTAAAATTGTTTTCCTTCCCTTTCTTTTTTTGAGATTTCTTTCAAACTAAACGTATTATTAGTTATATCAAATTATAAAACATCTTTCTTACCTACTCTTCTAAAATTACGCTCAACTTTGACCTAAAACTCCTTCCCCTACCACCACGCTTCCCTTTTTTCTTCACCAAGGATTCTAATTCACTCCCGCCGTCAACGACGACACGACCGTCACCACCACCACTCTCGTCGCCACCACCATCTACCCCAACCCTCCTGCTGTTAAACACAATAGAATCCATCTTTCTCATCATCCCACAACCACAACCACAACCAAAGCACTGCCCTCCACCACCATGAGAACCATTAAGAGCCAAACTTGCCCTAACCGCCAAGGCACCCATATCCTCTGCCGTGAGCGGAGAATTCAACAAACTCAAAGGCAAAGCAAAGTAGAGTTCACCTGGTTGAAGCTCCTCATCATCATCAACGGCGCAGAGGATATTGCCCAAATCAATATCGTTTGAGTTGCAGATAAAAGAATTTGAGTTCTTCTCTAATATCCTCGAAACCTTAACAGGGTATGAGAATTCCTCGAGCCGATCATCTTCGAGGATCAGTTTCGCTGTGTTGCCAGCTGATGATGAAGTTGACAGACCACATGAGCAGCATATTCCCATTCTTTCTGCCTCCTGTTGTTTCCCTCTTCGGAGATTGCAATTATGTTTTAGGTTGAGTTTTGGATTTACTATTAATTAATGAGATTTCCTTTTTTTAAGTTAATACGGTAAGAAGAATGATGTGAGATAATATATTCCACATCAGCGGTAAAGAAATTATTGTAGCTTAATGTCAAAGTAAATAAGTTTAATGGTCCTTTCATCTATTTTTAATAGGTCTTGCATAGGATTTAAGGTAACTAAATTTAATAATAATAATAACAGTAATAATAATAATAAACCAACGATGTGTTAGGTCGAATGGAAAAAACTCAGTTTCTCTTAAATAAGATTTGAAGTTCGAGTCTTATGAATGGAGAAACAGGTACTGAAAGTGCTTCTCCCCTGATAGGATCCGACGCAATTCAATTTCGAATTAGTCGGGACTCAATGATTACCAAATACCGGGAGGTTAATACCAAAATAATAATAATAATAATAATAATAATGGAAATGATTTTGAAATATTAGACTATTTTTTAAAACTAAAAATTTGAAGACAATTTTTATTTTTATTTTTATTTATTTTATCCTTATAAAATAAATAATTGTTTTAATCAAAAGATGAATAATTAAAGTTGAAAAATAATCATAAAGTTAAAATAGAAAAAAAACATTTGTTTCATTAAAAGACTAAAAAAATTTTATTTTGAAATAAATTTTAAATAAAAAATATTTATAATTCTAGGATAGAGAAAGAAGTAACAATAATTTTTGTTTCAATAAATCATTCTTGAACTAAATTAACTTGTCTTATTATCTTAGACTCTGCATGGTTATGATTTTCTATTTTTAGTTTTCAAAATTTAAATAATCAAAATTAAAATTAAAATTGCAACTTATTAAGTACAAAATTTAAAATAGATACCTAAAACTCCAAATATAATTAATTTATAGTAATACTTAATTTTATTTATTTAAGCTTTTAAAATTTTTAAAAACCAAAATAAAAACCTCAAAATTATAACCATACTAAATAGAGCCTTAATTATTAAGGGTTTTCCTAATCTATATGTCTTTAGGGAAAAATTAACGATGCAATTAATGTAATTTTTTTTACATTTTAATTAGTATTAAAAATAAAAAATTAACATTAATTTTATCATTAATGTTATGTAAATTATTTTAATTAGATAATTACTAATTAAATAAAGGTAAACTTTTATTTTTTCAATATCAATTAATATAAAAAAAGTTAAGTTAGTTGCACTGTTAACCTTAGGTTAGAAAAATTCAATTACCAATTATCTTCTCCACCTATGCGGATTGATTTTTTATTTATATATGTGAAATCTTTTATATGTACGATATTTTTAAGTACAATATACTTTACTCCCTCAGTTCAAAAATAAAAGTTTTTAGTTTGATATATATTTTTTAAATTTAGATGAAAATTTAACACAACAAATGAATGAAATTTAAAATTTTTCTTTTCTTATATAGTTTTTGTTTCATAATTTTATTTAATAAAAAAGTTTTCAATTATCAATTATATACCATGTTTAAATTTTTAAGATTAGTAGTTAATTTTTCAACATAAAAACTCAGTTTTTTTTTTTTTTATCTAAATACATTTGTTGTTCATGGCTTACGTTTCATTATTTAGATTGGCTCAAAAAGATCAATATCTGAAAAAATAAAAATAAAAAAATCGTGGATATGAATCATGATTCATGCCTTCTAAACAAATTGCTTATTTTAAATTCTTCACGTATACTCCAATTATATATCTCTCTAGTATATTTCACGATGTTTTATGTAATTTAATTTTATATGACCAATTGAAGATTTTCTTTTCTTTTTTTTTTTTTATGGTAGACCAAGTGAAGATAAAACCATAACGACATACATATTAACTTGTACTTTGACTTTCAATTATTTTATTTTTTTTCCTCTCATTTAAAAATTTCAGTTTTGTTGAATTTTTTCTATTTTATTGTTTCCCAATAGATTAATTTTTACACATTTTGAGATTAATCCTTTCTTTGGCAATCTTACAAGCTATCCACAACGGCTTAGTGTATTTAAAAAAAATTAACTTTTTTAAATACAAACCTTAGAACTTAAACTCTAGACTTGATTTATAAAACGATACTTATTTATCAATAGATTTTACTTTTAAAGTTGAAAAACTACATTTTAATAGAATATTAACTAGTAAATTAGAATTTAAAATTTCTAATTATTTACCCTTAATCCACTTTATATCCCTAACATTGGAGTACAAATAAATATGTCTTAACTCTTAGGAGTCTTTGTTTGGTTAAACAAGGGTAAAATTGAAACAAAAATCTTAAGTATTTTTTACAATTAAAAAACTATACTAATATAAAACCTTGGCAATTAGGACCTATTTTGTTTGATAGGAGGGAAGGGTCATTTCATTTAATTAAATTAAAACGGTTCTTCCCTTTTCCCTTATTTTCCTCAAATGAAATAAATTACAAAATGATTATATTCTCATCCAAGTAAACGTTTCTATTGTACACAGTGAAAACAACTATCCAAATGACAAAAAGATTGGTTCTCTCCCTTTTAACAGATCAAAAAATGAAGGGAAAATTTCTTTATGTATGCCTATTACATTTTTTTTTTTTTATTTAGTGAAGGCACAATTCGTAATTTTATATAAGTAAAAATATTTTAATAAAATTTATTGTAAGTGTATTAAGAATTTTTATAATGTCTATAATATCTTTTTTTAGATATAATAGTTAAAATATTAAATTGTTACTAATATTAGTTAAGTAAATTATCATAAAATTAAAAAATAACAATCAAAAGTCTCTCTACACAATTTTTTCAGTATTTTTTTCATCATTAGAGGTGAATGGATTTGGTTTAATTTCAAATCACTTGATATTTAAAATAAATGTTTTTGATTAATTCAGTTAAATTTTTAATTAATTGAATTATTTCACTTTGATTAATGATAAAAGATTTTTTTTTCGCTTAAAAAGATTAAAAGAAATTTGTTAATTGAATAAACCATATTAAAAAAATCAATTTTTTGTTAATCAAAATTAATTTTTTTAATTCGATTTAGTTATTAAAATAAAAATTATTAATCAAAGTAATGAACGATCAAAGAGAGAGTTTTGCTTCTTCTTTTTTAATTTTAATATCTATTTATTTAAAATTAATGAGCACTTAATTAATATTTTAATTATTTGTCAAAAAAGATTATCATAAACCTTTTAAAAAATTCTAATATGCTTATGAGAAGTTTAATTAGTGCATTTTTACTTATAGTAGTTTAAAATTTCACCTTCAATTAATTTGATGGAAAAGTCTTATAATTAGACCACTACAAAGGAATTTCCCCGGAAAAAGAAAAATAATTGAAGAAAAATATAAAGACCTTGATTAGTACATTCTTTAATTTAATAAATTACATAATAAATATTCTTGGTGGACATAGTGCATGCTGGAATTTTTTAACAACTTGGAGGTGCTCTTGTATTAATATATCATGAAGGGTTGTTTGGCTCTCATAAATTTATGCTTTTCAAGTTGAAATGTTTATGGGTTGAAGGTACCCTTGTACTCTATTTTTTAATAAAA